CAAGGAAGTATTTGCCACAAGACGGGATATACTCCTGTTGTCCTGAGCGGTCAAAATACGTGGTCGGCCAGGAACAGGTTGTGAGCGATAGCTGCCAGGGTCTCGAATGAATTTAGCACTGCATGGAAAAGAGCGGCCCAGCTGAAGTTACAAAAGTATGTGCACACTCAAAATTTTTCATTTCAAAGGTAAATGAAGAACCTACCGTGATGAAACCATTCTCAAACGACTCCTCGTAGTCGATACCCTTTACAGGAATTTAGGTTCCCCCTATTGATTTCTGATCTCGGTTATATTTTTGTTTTTTGCCAAGTGTGCACATACTTTTGAAACAAAGAAAAATTTTTCTTTAATAAAAAATTGTGTTAGCAGCTACGATGTTTTCTCAGAGAAAGTGTTCGTAGGTTATTGCATACATGGAATTGAATGGTGAAGGCCACAGGTTACAGAAAGCAATGGTATTTCCAAAAAAACAACAGGTTGGGTGTGCACATACTTTTAAAACACACTGTATTATACTTACATGGTATGGGGTATTATACAACTTTGTGCCAGCGCCTGTTGCCTTCAAACGTTGAACAGCTAGGATACGGTACACTAGCATAAGTTTTCAACTCCCTCTTCTCCACCAAGCTTCCCTGGCAAGCTATGAGCCTCTCCGTTCATAGTCAACTAGGCGTTTTCAGTTTTCCATCATAAATTTTAAGGAAACCCACAGAATTTCGTATACACCATATCACGAGTGTGAAGCATTCTCGCTTTCTTATGCAGGATACAAGATGCGGTTCCGCGACCATTGATAAAAGCCTAAAAGTGTCAACATTTCCAGACTGTGAAGAGCAGAGTCTCCTCATACTCTTTTACCCGTTGACCTGACACCCCTTACGACGACTTAGCCTTCTAACATCCACAATGAGCTTTTCCGCACTGTCCTTTCCCAAACCCCTGAACCCAAGGTACCTACAGATTGCCACGGATTCATGGTACGCGAAAATTAGTGACTTCCCTAAAACCTTAGGCAGAGTACCAGACTTACAGCAAATTTGTCGTGACATACGACGCGAACACAGCGATCAATAGACATTTCGATGATGATGGCATGAGCGAGTATGACGGAGATTGAGCCAGCCGGTGAAACGTAGATCAGCGGATATGTAACACGACCGGACTGAAGCATCAGTGGAATGGATTGAACGAGACGAGGAGTTTGAACCTACCTCAGTACGAAGACTGCGAAGTGGTGCTGATGAACGAGGATCGTTCGTAGGTGTGGCCGCAGAGAATTTCTGGTGATCACGACGAGATGAATCAGTTTTTGTAGGAGGAGACATTTGCACTAAACCAACAAGATTGTCACTCAGAAAATGCATATCTCAATCAGGGCGACGTAGGTGCAGCGGCAGGTGTCGCACACTGTCATACGCATGTTCTGATCAAATCCTGGAATGATGTGCGCCTGATCAGACAAGCTTTTTAGTTCCCCGAGGTTCCTTATTTGGTTCCAGAAGTCTCTGACAGCGGCTGGATATCGCAAAGCATTGTATAGGCTGAATTGAACATTCCAGGTTCCTTTCTGATCGAGAGTCTAGCGAGGGGCGCATCGCTTGGAAACGACTGATTTATATGAAAAAGTTCGTTCGGAACAAGTGAGAACCTTTTCCAAACAGGCAATACTGGTTCCGTTTCATAATTGTTGCCAAGTATTGCTGCGCCGCCATAAACTCGAGTCTCCATTGCCTAGGCTTCGATATTCCGAAGCTGTTCTCGTCATAAACCCTTACTATGCAGCTGAGAAAGGATATTTCAAAAGCAGTTGACCCTCACGGTAGTTGCCGCAGAAGGTCGCTGTGTTCTCCTGGATGGCTTCCAGGACTTTCCCAGTGTTTTTTAAAGTGTAACTCAGTGTCTCAATAATTATACGGTAAAACCGGTAGTGAATACAAAAGGACTCACACGACTCTTCCGACGATTCCTTCGGTGCGCTCTTCTGTTCGTCTCGATTCTCGCGACACTCCCTTACTCGTCTTTCACGTCCTCGGTCTCCGGCCATTTCACGATTTTGCTGCGGACTTGAATTCTCGCAGCTGGACGGCATCGAAGAATTAGGACTTTTCGCCCGACGTCTCACACCACCACTTTCCGGACCGTTCCGACCATTGTAGTTGCGGAGTGGCGACGGAGGTGGAAAACGGAAACGAGCTGAAGGTACACTGATAAGTCAGAATTTCTAGACGCTGGACACATAAATGATATGAGCAAAATGGAAGTGAGGGCTAGTTTGAGGCCCAAGTTAAGCAGTAACGACGAGCTGCTAGGAGAGGTAGCGAGACGTGATCAAGACGGACCTCGTTGAGGCTAATGTAACGGCAGAAGATGCCGCATTTAAAAGGAATTGGAGGCAGCTGACAGGATCAAGGACCCTGCGACAGCGCAGGATCAAGCCTAGGAAGAGGAGAAGAAATAAGAATATTATCAGTTTGTCCGAGTACTTTAGTCTCAGCTTACAGTTTGTTTTCATTATTACATTCACTCACGAGAAAACATGCTTCCCTGTGGTTCAAAATATTCGCCCGGGAATGGTGGGACGACAGACATTTGCACGCCCATGCTAAATAACAATTTATGAGTATAAAGAAATGTTGACTTCGTATAGTGCAAGTAAGGTAACAGGGCAGGAAGGACGAGTTCAAATTTACGGACTACTTACGGCGTCGCCATACCATACATTCTGCCCATGTAGGGTGGTGAAGTCTGAGCAAAACGTCCAGAATTGAACATCCCTCCTCTTGACTGGTACTGTAACAACAATCCGTTAATTCTTCAATTGAATAACGCCGATTGCTCTGTGCAACTGATGGCTTGCACCTTGAATATCATTTGAAGCAGTTGAACTGGTTAGCTGCACGTGAAGTGCTAGAGGGAAGTTAGGCAATTAATTTGAAGGAACCATGTACGTACTCCCTATGTAAAAAGAATGATGAAAAGCCCACAACTCGGTTAACCCCAAATACGAGAGATTTCGCAGTCCGAAGAATCTGCGATACAGTAGTCACATGCAGTGAAATAGAAGAGACTTCAGACAACTAGGGAACCTGCCACATGTACGACGCGAGGGGGTGATGTGGGTGGGTTACTTGGTTGTGCAGGTAGTGTTATTGTGCCGCAACTTCCTCCAAACTTAAATTTGTTTTGTAACACGAAGTATGGTATCCATGGATTGTGAATTATCAGGAATGGGGATGTAAATGTTCTAAGTGTTTCTTATTGGACCATAAGCAGCAGTTGAGATGACGGCCCTGTCCGCCCCAACCCTTCAGCTAGGTGATTCCCGTTTGGGTGCGCTAGGCTCGCATTCTCTTTGAATGATTCTTCTTCAGTGGTTACGCTGTATCTTACTAACCTGTCTTACACGCGATCCACGAGAACCGACGTTGCGACTCTGTGCTGGTGAACGGCTGTTGCCACTGCTGGTCGTATTGGCGTTCTTTTTGAAGTGCCGATTGTAGCCTTGTTCATCGGCATGTTCATCAGAAGTGCGCTGACCGACACACGTCGAATCAATCGTATTTTCCGCCGTTGTCACCTGTATGTTTAACGGACATGTGGATCACTACGGACTCGAGGCTTTTGCAACAGGCTTTTTCCGAGGCCACGACACTGGGTGGTTTATAGCATGTACGATGTCTTGGCGACTTACGGATACTCATTGATTTGCTCTGTACGTAGGTATACCAAACAGTACTTCGTTGATGTCTAACAAGCACGTCCTACCCTCACCTATGTGATGGCCCGCTCACAACGCAGACTGTGTTGCTGTATTACTTAGAGGCAAATCAGAATGATAAGGCATGATTTTTCTATCTTATCTATCACTTCATTATTATTGATAAAAATGGTTTTCGCGGTCTGATTGTGATCTCGGGTAAGTTTAGAGTGTATTGCTACATGAAGGAGTGGTCTAGGGGAGGGGTAACCTAGAAAGGTGATGTGAGCGGACTTGAGATATAGGTATTAATGCTGAACATTGAAGGACCCAGAAATTTGTCAACCTCGTGAGATTCTTCGTGTTTACGACCACTCCTCTCCCAAAGAGACTGTATACGAGTCCTTGACGAGGAACCTGGTTCAGCATTCGGAAAAATGCTGATTCTACTGGAGCAGATTACATCTCTTTCTTGCCTATGGATAAAGTGCTCAGGCAGCTAAGTATAAACAATCGTACTCTGATTACACCCCTTCGGTTATAAAGGGAATGATTTTGGTAATTGAGTGTGTAATTAGTGTCACAGAGTAATTTTCATATCTGACACCAATCTAACAGCTCCGATTAATCGTAGAGCCATTCTAGGACGGCAGAGGCGGCTGCTCCCAAGTTTTCATCGGTTTTAACCGTATCCCGTGCTCGCCCTAATCCTACCCTCACACAGTCAACAGTATCTGTACTTACACGCTCTCGATCTCCAACATCCATTTTTACTGTATCGAATCCTCTCATACTCGCCGACATACTTCAGCTGTCTATCACGTACCTCATCCTCATCGGCCTGTGTCGTTGCGACACTCAATGATTCAGTTGCCATGCTGATCGTTGCTAATTCTTTGGGTAAGTAGTATCAGAGTAGTGACTGAGCAGTATTCAGCTGAAATACTTCACAAATTAGCCCACTGGTGTCAGTAGGAAGCTTACCATAAACCAAGACTATAGACTCCTTAGAGAAGTTGAGAAATGAAGGCAAGCTACCGACCGTTGGTGGTACTTAAAATGACTGATTCTCACCCAGGGAAAACTACTCCACGTTGGATCTGGCTATCAATCATGGGCCTGATAGAAAAACAGAAGATAACGCGCCCCGACGATTAAACGAACATGTCAAAAGAGTAGTACTTAGGTTGCTGAAAAAGTTTCTTTAATTGGTCAACAAATGGCACCATCCTTCAGGTGCTAGCACCGTAATGTGAAGGTCTCCAGTTAGCACCTGAAACGCAGTGATCGCGCTCTTGTCGACTTAACTACCAAGCCCAAGTTGGTCTTTGCTACGAGGAATGGATTGTAAGCAAGCTACGTCAAGCAGTGCCCCAACCTGATCTGACCACAGTGCCTTCACTCCACTGGGAGTATGGGTAGAGACTCAGAGCACTTACGTAGTATGAACCATTGTCTCTGAGGGAGCTCATCAGTGTTATAAGATGGCTAGAATAAAATAATTGCCAATCGTTGGTTGATGCTATCGGCTGAGGCTATGTGCCAGGATACCAACCGTACCTGTAGGCTCTCCACTCACCCATGCATGGATGTCTGCAAGGGGACAGAAGGTAGAATTCGATCCAGGAGGTACAAGTCGACCTAACACGGCTAAAACAAAAAGCTTATTTCTTCAATCCACTCACGTTTGTTGCAATACAGGTGAGTTTTGGTCCTCGATTGATCCCCCTTCCACCACCTGGAATCGAGTCAGGTAGCCTACTCCCCCTATTAAGGGAAGGGAATCCATAGAACCGATGGCGCATATGGGCACCCAAAACGATCATTGTAGTGCAGTTGGATTATGTGACATGAATTCGAAGTATAAACCCAGAACATACCCTATTTGTTTTTCTCTCGTTTTAATACTAATTCATAATTTTTCTGATCTACAACTAGCTTCTTCTGGGTGAAGGACCACTTTACTCATTAATTTTAAGGCCATTATTTGTAAGTAAAATATGTCCACAAATAAATCTTCGGGCTGGGCTTGTTGTAGTATTTTTGGAACGCCACAATAACCAATAGTCAAGTTATTCAACCATGCAGAAGCCCTCATGGAACCCACAGCTATTGCCGCTCGTTACCATGGAGAATCATGACGCTAATGGATCGCGGGTGGGGTTACTCGAGTTACTGGATGTTCAGTATTGAGGAAGTTTCGATATTCTTCTCGATATCTTTCCTGAAAAATAAAATTTAAAGGTCATCTTGTATACTCAGCTACTCTACAACAAAAGTTGTAGCAGTCGTAGGTTCGATTACGGCTATTTCGCTCCCATAAAATCTCACTTTCAATTTCCCTTTTTGGAAATATGAAAAAATCAATGAATGATGCCTTTCTATTTCTTCCATTTCTAACGGATTTTTTGACTGGATGGTTGTTTTCTGTTTGCAATTCATCAAGTTAGTCAGTCCATTCAGTTTTGAATACTTTCTTACCTTTTTTCTCTGTTTTACTTATTGGCTTCCTTGACAGTGATCAATTTTCTTATTCTATTGTTCTTATTCTATTTTATATTTATGCAACAAGCAACTTAATAGTGCTGGTCCCATCACGCGGCAACCAGGAGATATCTTACAAGCAAAAATCAAAACGGGCTAGATTTACGGGGATTTTTTTTTCAAAATTTCCTCTTTTTCTTGGAATTTCTATCGTGCCTTTTTAGTACCATATCATGAACATTAATTAAACCTCATCATGATGATAGTTTAGTGATTCGTAATATTATAATTACAAATTTCAATATTTCAAGTACATTTTAAAATAAGTTTTAAGTACGAATAATGTCGGCATTATAAAAGAGACGAATATGAACAATAGCAACAATAGCTATACTGTTAGGTTGATGCATAATTATCGCGGGTTTTTCTCAGCAAGTTTTACTTGAAGAAACGATAGAAATATCTAGCAAAGACATGTTCAAATAATTGCTCAGGAACATATCCACCATTAACGTCAAGCACTGCTTTCCATTTGCTAAGCGGTCGGATTCCACAGGCGAAGAAGTTCCGATTCTCGGAGGCGATCACGCCTTGACATTGGCCCTCAAGCCGTCCACTTCGTTGAAAGTTCTGATCGTTAACCAATTTTTCACCGGGCGATCAACGTGATAATCCATGGGAGTTTATGTTGGTAAATAAGACGATCATAGAAGCAAATTCCACTCCTTGTTCACCTTTGGCTGGCTGATCCATCGCCGAGAAGTTCGTTGAGATCACATCGTGAGTGTGCCGCCTACCAACATTTCTCGGAGTAACAGAGCATAATTCGGCGTATGTGAAGATGACTTGCTAGACATATTTCTGTTAAGGAGAGCGAAAGATTCATTCTACAAAAATCCCGAATTCAAAAGTTCAATTTCATCAAGAGAAAAGAAGCCGCGAAAAAATCCGTAATAATTATGCACCAACCCAATACCTTCGCCGTTATCAATGTCCAATGTCAATGTTATGACCAATTTTTAAAAAATTTCCTATTATGCATCCTTACTCTAACCATGAAACTCGGACAAGAAGGTTTGCAAATAATCAAATAAACGAGCGAATAATTCAATACATTATGTAACTCTGGCAGCATGGACTCAGAAGAATCAAGTTCCTGTTCGACTATTATTTCTTTTCTGGACAAATTTTTATATAATTAATCTTTTTTTGTACGACGCCATCGATTTGTGACCCTTCTCAAGTATCTTTGGATTTTTTAGAGAATAAAGAATCGTAAAGAATAGACATGGCTGACGAAGAAGTGCTTAGCAAAGCTGGCATACATATTGATGAAATGAATCGAATACGACTCTTGGATCCAGGTATTTAGGTTCCTTTATTGATTTTTCATTTTTCATGACATTTCAAGAAATCGATGAATAATCGATCAGAATGAAGGACGCTCAGGGTAAAACTAGCAAACCATAAATGACTTTGATCCCATTTTAAAAAAAGCTGAAGCACAGTACTCAAACCGTCTTCCAAGACTAAAGACTTTGTGCTATTGTTTAGCTCACTCTTGAGAAAAATGACTTTCTATCTGACTATCAATATCAACCTACTACCCGTGACATTCTAGGGATTCATCAAAGTGTAGAGCCCAAGTTATCGAAAGTTCAAGTTAGAAATTATTCATTTGATTTCATTTATTCTTTTCTCCTTTCCTCTCATAAATCAGTTCACATCAAAAAACTCTACAAGTATTTCTTTCTGCAGAAATATCTGACACTCTGAGCGATTTGAGAGGTCAAGCAAGAGACTTTGGAGCACAGATGACTTCATTCCGATCGACCACAGATGGACTACTCAAGGCTTTTGAAGAGGTACAGCTCTCTAGAAATCCTTTTTGAGACAGATCTTCCCGGAATCCTATCTTATTATGAAACCGAGGAAAGTTCTCTTTA